CTAACCGGTCCCTATTCTTTCTCTAGGGTGTCAAATAGTACAGGAAACACATAACTTCACTGGAATTTGAAAAGGGAAGTAGTAGGATGATGTCAACAGAGATTAGCTTGACCCTACAAGGCTGACTGCCGAGGTGACTAAAGGTCCAGACCATAGAAGGAAGTGAGAAGGCTGGTAAATGGAGAAGTCCCATTCAAAGAATTGAGACATCACTACCTGCCATCTTCCCGGGTTTAGTTTTTCTTCCCTTTGGCCCTTTTTCTCTTGGGTAAACCAGATTTTCAGGGAAAGGAGACACTGACACTGACTTGTAGACATTTTAGAGGAATTACTATATCCTGTGAATCTGTTCAATGAGATCCATATCTTTAACAGAGCCTTGGTAAATGTAATTAGGGCCTCACATTTAACTCAGGTTTAGGGATAAATTTTAAAATCTGTGTGAATGTTGGGGCGTCTGGGTGGCTCAGTCGTTAAGCGTCTGCCTTCAGCTCAGGTCATGGTCCCAGGGTCCTGGAATCAAGCCCTCATGGGGCTCCCTGCTCGGCGGGAAGCCTGCTTCTCCCTCTCCCACTCCCCCTGCTTGTGTTCCTGCTCTCGCTATCTCTCTCTCTGTCAAATAAATAAATTAAAAATCTTTTAAAAAAAAATCTGTGAATGTTAAATTACCGTGATAGTCCTACGTAATCTTGCTAGTTTCAAATGAAATGCTAACATACTCCAAAAGTCTGTGTACACCATCTGCCAGCCAAATCCAAAATTCGTGCTTCAATCTGGTGACTCTCAGAAGATGCAATGCTAATAGTTAACATTTTATGTATGGTATCACAGATTTTATGGTCTCCTCCCATTCCCTTCCCCACCTTGTTTCACTATGGCTGGTGAAATTCTGCAGCACCATGGTTTGCCAAGAACATACAGTCTTAAACCAGCAGGCTTCATCTTTGTCAAGCCAGTCCCAAATTTCACAAAATGTTAATGACTTCCTTCAGTGCATCTGCAGTCCATCTGCAGTTTGGTGCCCAGTTTGCTGCCCATGTCCATTGTGTAGTACAGTTACCCAATCGTTAAGACATGTATGCCATCCTTCCTACCCTCTATGGGTTCAACTGTGTGAATTACCAATTGGCCTGAGTGTCTGCACTAATAATCCTCCTGCTGAAGTAAGTCAACATGAGCATGGCATTTAGCTGCCAATAGCTAAATATTTCCACCATAGGAAAAATGTATAAGTTATTCCTAAGTACATAGCAGGAAACGTATTTTTTGCACTACTATGAATGACATTATAGGATAATATCACTGTACTTTTAACAATGCATTTTACAAGTTTCTAAATAAGTAATCAGTGATCATTATAGAGGTTTATGTACAATGGTGAACTGAAAGATAGGAAGAAATTTAGAAGATGATGGGGATGTATTCTAAGGATAGGAATTACTGACCAGCCTGCCCTGTCCTATATACTTAAGTTTTCTGTGTGTTCTACTTTCCTTTGTCTCTTCAAGAAATATCTTTACTTATCCCACAGATGCTTCAAGCTCACTATGGCCAAAAATGACTTCTCTTGTCCTGGCCCATTCTGTATCCCTAATCCATGTGGATCTTCTTCTTTGTTCCTTATTCCAGGAATGGCCTTAACCACCTGCCCAGAAGTCCAAGTCAGAAAACCGTGACTCATTCTTAGCCCTCCTTCTCTCTTATTTCTCTTACCTTGCCTAATCTAGTTATATCCCTCAAACCCATTTTCTTTCTAACACCACATCTCTTGCCTTAGTTCTAGCCTTTATGATTTATGATCTCTTCCCCATGTAGACTGTTCTAATAACTTCTTAGCTGATTTCTCTGTCTCTCGTACCTCAACTCTCCAATCCAGATCTTTCTGAACCTAAAATGTGTTTATCTTTTCTTTGCATTAAAACCCTTCAGTAGCACCCCATGTACTACTATAGAGGATAAAATTTAGGACTCTTACCTTGGCATATAAAGCCTTTCATGATCTAGCCCCTACCTAAGTATGTTGAGCTTTATCTCTCTCCAGTCCTCTACACGCACTCCTGCCAGTGTCACACTACTGGGTATGCCATGCTGTTTCACACCCTCGTAAGTAGTGGTTTATTTCTGTTACTCATCTAGTATCTTATACATCCTCCTACCAATTATTTTTGTAATTTATTGTGCTAGCATGAGGCACAAAGATATCTTCTTGTTAATATTGTGGCTGATCCACAGTAGACACACAGTATAATGCTTGTTGAATGAATGAATGAAAACACTTAAAAGTCACCCATTTGGAAATACTACTCCAAACCTCTCATTGGGTAAAACCTGCCCACTTTTTCATACTTACAGCATGTACATTCCATAATTATCCATTTGGAGGATCAGACTTATTTCAGTGTTTTATTAATTCATTCACAAAAATATATGTATTGAACACCCACTGTGTGTCCGGCACTGTTCTAAGTGCTGAATGCTGTTATAACAATGAACTCATCAGTCCTTTGGGAACTAATAAGCTCTTTACTGTGATCACCAACTTAAAAGCCTATGTACTTTAGTTACAAATGAATAGAAACAAAAACAGAAAATTTTGAATAGCACTTGATATTTCCTAGGCTCTGAAATTACAAAATATGCTGTAGAGAGGTTGGTGTCCAGGGGGGAAAAGAAACCATTTTTTAGTGCCTTTCATGTGTTTGGAACACTTAAAATTTTTCATTTAATTCTCATTACTATAAAAAGTATTGTACCATTTAATATAAGGGAAAAAACAAGTTTTAGGAGTTAAGTGCTTATATAATTTTTCTCTATTGTTTAAAAAAAAAAGTTAAGTCTTAGAAGCCCAGAATCCCACAGATACTACAGTGGCATAAGCAAGATTTAAAAACTTGTCTTTCCATTACTTTATCTATATCCTTTCAGCAAGACTTGAAGCAACTACCAATACAGATGACATTTATTCAACAAATTCTTCTTGCCTGCATACTCTATGCTAGGTATTGCTAGATGCAAAGATACAATAATGTGTAAGACAAACATTGGTCTCTATTCTTAGAGCTTGCAATATTTTAAATGGGAACTGAGAAGAAATAAGTGGGGTGAAGAAAATTTACTGCACCTGAAGAATCTTGAGGATGTCTAAACTTTAAGAGAGTAAGAGAGAAAACGAATTTGGAAGACAGAATTAACCATAATTTTTACCCCTTACTACTTCACTTAAGCTCATTCCCAAAGCTAAAGAATCTACCAGTTTACCCTATTCCCACTCTTCTTGGAAATTAGGGTTAATTATAATATTTTGACATTCTGTTAGCTAAGCTGATATAAACACCTTGGCATCCCCTTCCTCCCTTACCTTTCTATTTATATCTTCTGATGCTGCCAAATGAATTAAAGATCATAACCTTTAAAAGGTCAGGATTTTTCTTTGAATGTATCTGAGTTCTCTTAGTAGAACCTCCAAGCAAATACTCTACTTCCAACTGTGGGACCCTTATTCACACTCCCAGGATACATACTCGTGATAAGAATAGGAACATATAACTTTGTTGGTGACATACCCTGTGCTAAGCACATTACATGCATTAGCTCAGTTAAACCCTAAAACAACCTCATGACCTTAAGTGGCAGAGATAACTTTGTGCTCACCAAAGTCTGTTTTCTTTACTCCACACCTAACACCTTGTATTTCCCAGCCTCCTTTGTAATTACTCGAGGTCATGTGATGGATTTCTGTCCAGTGGAATGTGAATAGAAATGATGAAAGCCATTTAAGGTTTGGCCCACAAAACCTCTAGAACATCCTACACATGCTCCATATTCTCTTTCTTTCCACACTTATCAGCTGAATGAAACTTCAAAGAATTTAGAGGAGGTCAAAACCGCCAAACTCAAAAAGCCTGGGGCCCCAAATTAATCCTTGCAGAAATGTCGTCCAAGCATGGTGAGGAACACCTGTGTTGGATTTTACTTGTTTTATTAAATTATGCCTCTGAAATTATGATGCTGTATTTTACAGTAATTAGCTTCCCTGCCTAATACACTTCTCTTCATTTTGCTGGTGAAGAGATTGAGGCTTAGGAAAAGTTAAGTAACTTGCTTAAATTTGCTCAGCTATTAGGTGGGGGGAACTAGGAATAGATCTCAGGTCTGTCTGAGTTAGAGTTGGAGTTCTCACCACTTAAGTTTCTCATGATAACTATTTTATGTACTTTTAAAAATTTCATAAAAGTTTCATATGGCAAGCGCCTGGGTGGCTCAGTCAGTTAAGCGTCTGCCTTTGGCTCAGCTCATGATCCCTGGGTCCTGGGATCTAGCCCCGCATTGAGCTCCCTGCTCAGCAGGGAGTCTGCTTCTCCCTCTCCCTCTGCCTGGCCCTCTGCCTACTTGTGATCTCTCTCTCTCTCTCTGTCAAATAAATAAATAAAATCTTTAAAAAAGGTCGGGGGGCGCCTGGGTGGCTCAGACGGTTAAGCGTCTGCCTTCGGCTCAGGTCATGATACCAGGGTCCTGGGATCGAGTCCCACATTGGGCTCCCTGCTATGTGGGGAGCCTGCTTCTCCCTCTGCCTCTGCCTCTCTCTCTCTCTCTCTGACTTTCATGAATAAATAAATAAAACATTTAAAAAAAAAGAAGGCTTTGTGGTGCTTCTTATTAAAAAAAAAAGTTTCATATGGCCTTTAATATCCACTGCTTCACCTAGCATGCTGAAAAATGAAATAATCAGGGTGACCTCCAGGTTCTCTCATATATAAGATGCTCTCTTACTTTCTTTAACTTATTCCTGCCACATTTTCCTTTCTTTTGGATATATTAATTTTATAATTTCAATATGACTTACAATGTATTTGGACCTTATATACCTGTTGAAAAATGATGTGTAGATTAGTTAAGTTTCATCCTTCCCATAAAAAGGAAGATTAACCAAACCTTGACCCTGAATCGTCATCAAAAACCGTTAATTATGAAGCAGAATAAAAATATGATACCTGAGCTGTTAAGATATCTGGGGTCCATTGGTCGAGCCTGAGCCAGCATGGCGGCGCCCATGTAACACGGTTTGTGCCGCGAAAGGGACGGCGGCCGTGGCGCCGGCCCCGCGCGGTCACAAGTCACCATGCTGAGGACGGCATGGAGGGCGCTGAGGTCGCTTCGGACCCAGGCAGTGGCCCAGGCCCCAGTCCTTGGGCTGCCGGGCGGAGCGTGTGCCAGGCCTCCCTCCCTCCAGTGGGGCCTTCCCGATCCTCGCGGTGTCATCCTCCCGGCCGTTCGCGGATATGACACCCAGAAACCACCAGTCCAGCCCAGCCAAGAAGATGACCCACCCCCTTCCACGCTGCTCAAAGACTACCAGAACATTCCTGGAATTGAGAAGTTTGACGATGTCGTGAGAAGACTCTTGTCTTTAGAAATGGCAAACCAGAAGGAGAAGCTAAAAATCAAGCAACAGCAGCTGATGAACAAGATTGTGGCAAACCCTGAGGACACCATCTCCCTGGAGGCTCGAATTGTTGCCTTGACTGTCAAGATCCGCAGTTACGAAGATCACATGCAGAAACATCGAAAGGACAAAGCCCACAAGCGCTATCTGCTGATGAGCATCGATCAGAGGAAAAAGATGCTCAAAAACCTCCGGAAGACCAACTACAGTGTCTTCGAGAAGATATGCAAGGAGCTGGGGATTGAGTACATCTCTCCCCCTCTGTACCACCGGAAAGGCCACCGACGCTGGGCAGCCAAGAAGGCCCTGTGCATTCGGGTCTTCCAGGAGGTACAAAAGCTCAAGAAGCAAAAAAGGGCCTTAAAAGCTAAAGCAGCAGCAGCCCGGAAACAGGGCCAGAAGAACCCAGAGAGCCCTTCCAAAACTGGACCAGAGGCAGTCAAAGAAAACCAATAAATTTTATTTGAGTTCTGTCAAAAAAAAAAAAAAAGATATCTGGGGTCCATTCTTTGTAATCTAAAGAGGCTGAATCAAGTACAAACGTATTAGAACATGCAATATTGAACTAAAATAAGAACAAATGAACTAAAATAAAATTAATGTTAATGTTAAAATTAGGACATTGAGTTTTGGTTGATATATATCAATAACATGAAGGAGATTTAGTAATTCATTTAAGGCAATGGGGGAAGAACCGGATTTGGAGTTAGACACACTTAGGTTCAAAACTCTGGACAAATTATTCAGTTTCCTCATGTATAAAACAGGGATAATGGTACCTATTTTAAAGATTTCTTATCAGGATTAAAATAATGTACATAAAAAACTAATACAATGTTTGACATACAATAAATGTTGTCACTCAATAAATAAAATCATTCAACATTTATTCAGAATTCACTATGGGCAAAGCACTCTGCTAGATTCCCAGGATACAGAGTTCACTTAGACAAAATATTAACAGAATGTATTAAGTAATGTGATAGAGATATACATAGAGTACCATAAGAAAGGGGAAAAAGGACATCTAGTTCTTCCTGGAGGGATCAATGAAGATTTCTCAGGGGCGGAGTCTTAAAGGATGATTAGGAATTGTGAGGGAATCAATTGTGAGGAATTGTGTGAGAAGTTATTCTAGGCAGAGGAAAATCGCATATGCAAAAAAAAGAAGTCCTTTGAGGACTGCAAATAGTTTGTTGCTCTTGTTGTTTTTAAGTAGGCTCCACACCCAGCAGGGAGCCCAGTGCAGGGCTTGAACTCACAACCCAGAGATCAAGACCTGAGCTGAGATCAAGAGTTGGACTGGATGCTTAACTGACTGAGCTACCCAGACACCCCGACTGCAAATACAATACAACTGCAACTAGTTTTATGGTACGTGTGAGGTTTTTATTTATTCATTCGATCAGCAAGTAATTATTGAGCACCTATATATGCAGATAGTGTACTAGGTCCTGAAAACACATCAGTGAACCAAACAGAAAAGTCTTCTGCCTTCTGGAATAGTACATACGTTCAAGAGGGCATATAATAAACAGATAAATATGAAACAAATACGGGGAGTGAAGAGTGCTATGAAAAAAATTTAAGCAGGATAAAAGAATCAAGAATGACAGAGGACTTTAAATTGGATGACAAGGGAAAGTTTTTCTAAGGAGATGACATGTGACTTGAGTGGATTGTGGGAGTCAGCAAGGCAAATATTGGGGAGAATATCATTTTGCAGAAAAGGAACAATAAGTACAATGGCTCTCAGGCAGGAACAAGATTAACTTGTTTGCAGAACAGCAGAGCCAATGTAGCCAGAGAAAGAGTGAAGAAGAGAAAGAGAACTAGGAGATGAGCTCAGAGATGTGGCCAGATCATGAGGGGCATGTTGAAGACTCTGGATGATATCTAGAGGTGGATGTACCATGAGAATGGACAGCTAGCCCTAGATCTTTGGATCAAGCTGATGACTGCATGAAGTAGGCTGTTTCCCACCAACACCACTGGAACAAGAATCCACTAATTGCCATGTTCTTCTACATATGCATATCCCCTTGGCTTTCATCTTTATCCTTTTGGCTATTTTCTTTCCCCTCTTCTGGATCAAGGTCCTAGATTATTGATGGACACACTTTTCCCTTACTAAATACATAATATTCCCAAGACCTGTGTCCTTGAAAATTATTGGACACAGGACTAATTCTTCATTCACTGGTAAGGTTGAACAAACCCTACCCAAATTAAAGGAAAAAAGAAACTTGATTATATAAGGATGATTATGTTACATGTCCAGCTATTTTTTTTATTTCCAGTATAGTTAATGTACAGTGTTATATTAGTTTCAGGTGTAACAATATAGTGATACAACAATTCTGTGTCCATTGTCCAGTTTTTAAAATCTAGGATGTAGTTTTGAAATGCCTTGGAAACTCCCATCATTTTTGTCTTAGTGTCTGTATGCATTGCAGTTACCAGATATATGATCTTTTGAGTCTTAAACGCTGCTGCACAGCCACTGCTACACTAGATGATTTACAAATGATTACCGAACAAAAAAGAACAAGAAGGCCTGATACTTATAAAGGTTAATAAGACTGTCATGAAAATCTCAATACATAACTGCGACTTATTAAATAGCCGTGCAGATCTGAATTGATTATGTTCCCAGAAAAATAAGTCTTTCTTCCAGCTTAGGCTAAAGAATGACCAAAAGACAGGCGGGGGGCGGGGGAATGAGAAATGAAGCAAAAAGTAAAATGATCAACTGTACTATTGATACGCAACGCAAACAATTCAAGCTCTTACTGTTCTAACACCATCTTTAGACTCATATGTTACAAGACCACAAACTATTTAACTGTAACTCTGCGCAGACTCATATGTTCTAGTGATTCACTTAGTTTACAAATTCTTACGAAATCCCTGCCCATGCTAATAACATCCAATATAAAGGCACCCAATGATTAATACCACTCCCCTCCCAAATCCTTTAAGTATCTTTCCCTTACTACCCCATTTTGAGACATTACTGAGACTGTGTTACTGGGATGCTTCCCCTTATCAGCAACTTTAACAAATCCAGATTTTTATGATTAATAGGTTTTCAGTAGTGCTATGTTTCAGTCTGTCTTTGGGTGAGCTTGTGCCCATGGATTGTGAAATTTACCAGTGCTTCTCAGTTGTTGTTGTCGTATTTTACTGAAGTGTAGTTAGCACATAATGTTACATTAGTTACTATGTACTATATGTACAACATAGTGCTTCTACAACTCTCTTTTTATGCTATGCCAGCCACAAGTGTAGCTACCGTCCTACCATCTGTCACCACACCACGCTGTTACATTACCTTTGACTATATTCCCTATGCTGTCCCTTTCATCCCTGTGACTTATACATCCCATCACTGGAAATCCTGTACCTCCCATTCCCCTTCACCCATCTTGCCCATCCCCCCACCTCCTCCCCTCTGGCAGCCACCAGTTTGTTCTCTGTATTTAGAGAGGGTCTTTCTTCTTTTGTTTGTTTGTTCATTTGTTTTGTTTTTTAGATTCCACATGTAAGTGAAATCATATGGTATTTGTCTTTCTCCTTTTGACTTATTAGCGTAATACCCTCTAGGTCCATCCATGTCATCACAAATGGCATGATTTCATTCTTTTTTATGTCTGACTAATATTTTATTGTGTATATATACCATGTCTTCTTTATTCATCTGTCATTGGACACTTTGGTTGTTTCAATATTTTGGCTATTGTAAATGATGCTGCAGTAAACTTAGGAGTGCATATATTTTTTTGAATTAGTATATTCACTTTTTACCCAGTATTGAAATTATTGGATTGTGTGGTATTTCTATTTTTAATTTTTTGAGGAACCTCCACTCTGTCTCCCACAGTGGCTGCACCAGCTTGCATTCCCACCAACAGTGCACAAGCGTTCCCTTTTCTCTACATCCTAACACTGGTTATTCTTGTCTTTTTTATACTAGCCATTCCCTGCAAATGATATCTTGTGGTTTTGATTTGTATTTCCCTGATGATTAGTAATGTCGAGCATCTTTTCATGTGTCTAGCCATCTGTATGTATGTCTTCTTTGCAAAAATGACTTTTCAGGTCCTCTGCCCATTTTTAAATCAGATTATTTGGTTTTTTGGTGTTAAATTGTATAAATTCTTTATATATTAGATTTTAATCCCTTATCAGATATATCATTTGCAAATATCTTTTCCCATTTAGTAGGTTGCTTCTTAGTTTTGTTTTTTTTGGGGGGGGGGTTGTTGTTGTTGTTTTTCTTGCTTAGGTGGGACAGGGTAGACAGAGGGGGCTGAGTTGTCTTTTTTTTTCTCCCAAGTAGTTTAGCCTCTGATAAAATTGCAGCAGATTAGACTCTGGTCCTGAGGGTAGTCCTTGTTAAGAAGAACAGAATGCTCTAGCATATATTGAAAGGGTTCCTTTCCCCTCCTCCTGCTAGAAACACCAAGGGAATTTTCTCTGGTATTCACTAAGATGTCATGGTAGAGCTCCCACAGGTAGAACTAACAAAAGTCTGGGAACCTCCCCATACCTTGTCAACATTGAGCCTCCAGCAATTTTGTCAATTACAGTTTAGGTTTCCACACCCTGGGACTGGTTCCTGTGGTGGTTTCTGCTTGTGGGCTCTGCCCTTGTAAGTTGTGATTCTCTGTTTACCTGTCTGTCTCGCCAGTTTGGGGGGGGGGGGAAGCAATGATTTGTCCTGTAACCTCACTTTTCAGACAGATCTAAAAAGAGTTGATTTTTCAGTTTGCCCAGCTTTCTACTTGTTGTTACATTGAAGTGGTGCTATGGGACAAGAAACCAGAAGACTGGACATACTGCTTTGGGGTGCTCAGGAGACACCCAAATGGAGCTATCCAGTATACCAAAGGATATTAATATGGCTTTCGGTAAGCTAGAGGTACAGATCCAAACAATATGAGTGTTTAAGTAGTTGACAAATCATGGAGTATATGAAGTTAACCTGGGAGTAAGCTCCTAAGACTGAGACAGAATCCTGGGGAATTCTACCATTAAAGAGGCAGCATACAATTTTGAAAGAGCACTGAAGATATAGTCACTCTCTGATAAAATTAAGTTTTCACAGATACCTTGTTATTGTTCATATAAATTTATCAAAGTTCATTACCTTTTATTCTTTTACGCCCACACCTCCCACACCCCAATTAACTAAAGCAATTATATTACATAATCTGCTCATCCTGGGGCAATAGTTAACATGGAGACTTTTCAAAAGTAGAATAAAATATTTCAAACTATTTTTTAAATAAGGTTTTATAGAGTGTTCTATAAATCTTCTGTTTAAAATCTCACTTTAAAGCAAAGATATTTTATTCCAATTGGCAGTCCAGAGGAAGTTTTGAGTACCAAATTCTAAACCTCCAAAAGTAGGATTAAAATCTTAGACACTGAAACATTCCAGGAACCAGTTGCATTTCTGCATGCTACAGTAAAATGAAGGCAGGA